GCAAGTCTCATGGGGTCCCTTAGAGGTTGGGTGATAGATGCTTGTTGGGGAAGGAGAATAAAGGAATGGCAAAGGCATGCTCCTTGGAGGGAGAGTGCGCACTGTGTCCTTTGTCCTGAGTTATTGATCTCTCTCAGGTGGAAATCTTAGAGGAGTTTTCAGGGGAGGGCCTTAATAGAATATTCATCAGCTTTCCAGGTGTGCTCTTTTAGGGTTGTGTTCTCCACTGATTGCTCAATGCCTCAGTAGTCAAAGTAGCTGGTCCTGAGGCAGCCATGTCTGATTTTGCTGCTTTACTCGGTTTGGAACTGAAATATAGAAATTTCAAAGGGTCTAAAACAGCCTGACCAACAACGTGAAAGATCAGGCGTCCAAACCGAATGGCAGCACTATGCTAGGGAAGGACAGGTTGCTCTGCGGGTGAGATTCTTGTTTTCCCTTGCTGGTAAGTTTCTGACCTGGCCCAATATCTGGATGCCACCTCCAATTTATGATATCCCAAATATAGTTTCCTTCTTAACCTGTTTATTCTCTGGAATGCCCATTTCCTCTCTGCTATTCTCTCCTTCCCCCTCCACGCCCCCTTCCCCCACCCCCTGGTGTTTTAGGACATTGTCCAAAATCCTGTTCAAACAAGTTCTAGATCTACAAGTCATTTTTAAGTTCTTTTTCCACACAATTTCTGTCTACTCTTTTTTCATAGCATCTGCTCCCTCCTGTCCATTCCCATTGCCTTTGTAGCCTCTTGCTGGTATGTTAGTGTATAGTGAACTTGGCATGGCCATCTCCCACTTTCAATTTGCCATATTTACTGCAGCCAGGTGGTAGTGGAATTGCATCTTTTGTGGTGGCAGAGTATTAAAGCTATTGTTTAAGAAGAAAATTTCTTATTGTTAACATTACTCTTAAAAAATGCCTTATATTGCCAAAACCAGTTTGGCTCAGTGGATAGGCGTCAGCCTGCGGACTGAAGAGTCCCAGGTTCGATTCCGATCAAGGGCATATACCTTGGTTGCGGACACATCCCCAGTGGGGGGTGTGCAGGGGGCAGCTGATCGATGATTCTCTTTCATCGATGTTTCTAACTCTGTCCCTCGCTCTTTTGCTCTGTAAAAAATCAATAAAATATACATTTAAAAATGCCTTATAATGCTCATAAAGCAAAATCTACATATTGCTTTTTAATAATTTAACATTGCCAGTTTTTCCTCCACTTTTGGAGCAGATCACTTTTCTTTTGTTGAATATCAGATTAAGTCATCTGCTTGGTTTTAGTGGCCCTCTAATATGAAAATGTTTCTTAATACACCTTAATTATTTTCTTTTAAAATATGAGGTTGTGTGTGTGTGTGTGTGTGTGTGTGTGTGTGTGTTTTAACTCTCAGCACTAGTCTATTTGAATTCATGTTAGTTACTCATGAGTGTGATACCCTGGAGCGTATAAAAGCACAGTTCTGATCCTGTTATTTCTGTGCTCAAAAACAGCTAGTGGCTCTCCATTGCTTATCAGAAGTCCCATTTCTTCAGGCTCACACTTAAAACTGTGCATGATATGGCTTCAACTCACTCATTTCATCCAGGTTCCATCCCAGAATGGAATGTCCCTACACATTCCGGTCTCCATCCACACTTTCTCTCACACGTCCCACCGGGCCGATATACCTTGTTCTTACTCCCCATTTCTGCTGGGTTCGGCCATTCTTCAAAGATCATCTCACATGCTGCCTCTCCTCAGCTTCCTCTAACTGACTCTTCTCCAGGCCAGCTCAGCCAAAATCCTACTTCCTTTTCTGAACTGCAGTATGTCTTCATCTGTACTGAATTTATAGCAAGTATCATTTTCTGTCCAGAATTTTCATTTTTATTTACTTTTTGTATGTGTATGAGTTGGTCCTCAACCAGAGGATATTTTTTCTTCCATTGATTCTTTATTTTTATTTTTTAGAGAGAATGGAAGGGAGGGAGGGAAGTAGGAAGAAGGGGGAGAGAGAGGGAGAGAGAGAAAGAGTGCGGGAGGAGGGGGGGAGATGGGGAGAGAGAGAAACAGAGATACATTAATCGGTTGCTTCCCACACTCGCCTGACGGGCCAGAATTGAATCTGCAACCCTTCAGTGCGAGGGCTGACACTCCAACCATTTAGCCACAACAGACATGTCTTTCTTTACCATGTTTTTCCATGTATAAGACACTATTTTTTTCTAAAATCATCAGACTGGAAATCAAGGGGCGTCTTATACATGGAAGTCAGCCAAGGAGGGAGCTACACAGCGCATACCTTGTCAAACAGGCTTCCTCCAATCACGAGCCTTATTGTTACTGACCTCAGCTGATGAGGTAATTGGAAGTGGAGGTGGAAACTGTGCAGATGCAACAGAGACGGGAGTGTTCTGAGCCCATAAAGATGTCAAAAAATAAAAAGATAAATACAGATGAGCAATTGTCTTACTCAGCAAAATTCAAACTGAATGTAATCAGCTATGCAAAAGAGCATGGAAATAGAGCTGCAGAGAGACAATTTGGACCCTCTCCCCTGAGTGTTTAATCAGACAGTGGAGAAAACAGTAAGAACAACCCCTTAAGATGCCAAAAAAGAAGACTTGTAAGAGGAAAACTAGCAAAATGTTTGAAATATTGATTTCTTAATTGGGGTTGGAAAACTGGGGGCATCTTATACATGGGCATGCCTTGTACACGGAAAAATATGGTAAGTTTTATGAGGCTGTTAAACACTATGGACTAGGTTAGAGCTTGGATCTTCTTTATAGTTTTACTAGAGGTCTGGTACCCAAAATTCATGCACCAGTAGGATCCCTAGGCCTGGCCAGCAATCAGGGATGATTGGGGCCTTCTGGCTGCTGGCTGGGGTCTTCCTTCATGGGTCGGCACACATCATAGCAAGCATAGCACTCGCAGTCGAACTCCCATGGGGACACTTTGCCTATTACCCTTTTACATATATAGATATTCTTTTACCATCTCCAACTTCAAGCACCTAGACAGTTCTCAACAAGTTTGAATGAATAAATAAGTAAAATAATGCGGCTTCCCAACCCTTCCCCATGCAAAAGAATGTCTCCCCATGTGCTGGAGTCTGGCAGTGCCCCAGAAGGTAGAACTCAGGACTCCAAAGAAGCAGCAAACTCATCTTCATCCCAGTAGTGTCTCCAGCCTGGCAATGAATGAACTCAACAGGAAGGCAGATGGGCAAGAAGATATATGCAAATGCAAAACTCTTTGCTCTTTCTTACAAAGCAAAATAAACATTCTGTTTAGGGGAAGAAGGAGGAGGAAGAGGAAGAGGAGGAGGAGGAGGAGGAGGAGGAGGAGAAGAAGAAGAAGAAGAGGAGGAGGAGGAGAAGGAGGAGGAGGAGGAGGAGGAGGAGGAGGAGGAGGAGGAGGAGGAGGAGGAAGAAGAAGAAGAAGAAGAAGAAGAAGAAGAAGAAGAAGAAGAGACCTGTAAATGTACAATACAATGGCTTTTTCATAGAAGGCTTCAGGAAATGCCAAGGTCTGTTATTGGGATTGGAGACAGTTTGTTCCCATTGTGTAGAAAGAGACGGTTTATCCCGAAGACCTGCTGTTTTAAAGGATCAGGCACATTTCAGTGCATCTCAAGTTCAGTGGGAGAGGAAAATCTCTTTATGGAGAGGAAAATCCCCTCCTTGCTTTGTTTTTATCTCAAGGCTGAGGGGAAGCTCTGACTCCAGGAGTTCACTGGATATAACAGCCCTTAAATCTTTCCTGATTCATACTTCCAAACCCCAGACATACAAATCTAGCTCTGCTCAGATGCGCAGTAAGATTTCAAAGGAAGGTCTGGGGGTTGCCGAGAATGGGAATGTCATATATTTAAGGACGGTCTGGGCATAGGGAACGAAAGGTTACTTGAGCCTGTCTTACATCTTTCAAGGGATGGGGCATCTTGATCTCTATTATGGACCTGCCAGAAAATGCAATCTGCCCGCAGAGCGACAGAGGGGCCTTGACAGTGAATCTACACCCTCCGTGTTGACTTTAGACGAGAGGAGGGGAAATAACCGCCCTGCACTCTTGTGAAATCTTAATGTACCGTGAGAAGTGCACGGCGTGGCCTGATGGACAAGGTTCAGGTGTGTCTTGTCGTTATGGAATCATGCCCAGCGGCTTGCAGGAGGGAAGGTGTTTTAATAGTTTATGTTATTTTTTTCTGCACAATTACTCAGGTGTCTTTTCCCTGTGTCTCTTCTCCCTCCTGGCCGTGGGTCCCGGAATCACTTGGGTCCTAGAGATCTCTCTCCCCCGCACGCACGTCTGGGCTGGGCCTGCTGCGGGCTCCCCCCTCTCCCCGCCTCCCCCCCCCCCCCCTTTTCCCTCTCTGGCCCCGCCTCCCCCCGCGCCCCGCAGCCAGCCAGCAGCGAGACAGCTGTGTTCAATCAGAAACCACTTACAACTCCAGACGGCTCCAACGGGAAACTTCCCCGGCGTGGAGCGCAGCTCCGCTTGCTCGGGCTCTCGTGAGCGTCCTCTCCTTGCCCGGCCCCCGCGGAGCGGATCTTCCTCGCCCCGCGCCGCCCCGGGGGTGTGATCGGGAGCTGGACGAAGCCCCCTCCAGGGTGCAGTGTCTTGCCGGGAGGTGCCCGCCAGCCTGGTCATGGGGGTCGGCGAGACCCCGCACGGGTGGTGAGGCGGCGGCCGCGGGTGGCACTGCCCGGGGCCCGGCGGTGGGCGCGCGGGTCCCCGCGCCGGCTCGGCCGCTGCAGCAGCTGCGAGCGCGCCTCCCGCCCGGCCTCCCGCAGCCATGCCGCGCCCGTGAGCCCCGCGCCGGCTCCGCTCCGCTCCGCTCCCCCTCGGCGGCGCGTTGGCATCCTTCCGCCAGGACTGCACCGCTCGTCCCGGGTGGAAATGGCTGTCTAGACCCGGGGATCTGCCAGAAGGGTCCAAGCCGTGGAGACCGAGCCCGGGAAGCCTAACTCGCAGCCCCGAGACCTGGAGGAGGAGCTCGGCTCTGAAAAGTGCAGACATGAATTCTGGAGTTGCATTGAAATACGGAAACGACTCCTCGGCCGAGCTGAGCGAGGTAAGACGCAGCTGGGGGGTCGGGAGCTCTGGGCAATGGCTTTTCCAAACCCCCACTCCCTCCAACCTCCAGCTTCTTAATCTCCTCCTGCCCCATGCCGCACCCGCCTCGCACTCCCTGCATGGAGGCAGCGCAATTAAAGATTAATAGATTTTCTGGATCGTGTTTTAACTTGTCGTGCTAACTCAGGAAATGACCTGAACTGGCTTGATGTGTTCCGTCTGAAACCAGCGGCGTGAAAAAGAAGCAAAGCTCTCCCCACCCCGCCGAGGCGTGTTTGCTCCCCGCGGTGTGGGTCCCCCTGTCCCTTCCCACCCGTTCCTCCCAGTTTAGGTAAAACACCCTCCTTTTCGTATCCGCAAAATGCATGGGGATCCCGGCTGAGCTTGAGCCACCGGTAACTGATTTGGTGGGGCCGGGGAACTCGTTGGATTAGGAAATCTACCCCTTGGCTCCCAGGTGCGGTGCGTTTGGGCACATCCAGGCAAGGTGGTCTGTGCGCGGCGGAGGAGGAGCGTGTCCGCGCTGGGGAGGGGCGCGGGGAGGGAGCACATCAAAGCCGCTTAGAACTTTGTTTCCTGCCCGGAACTGGGCTCCTGAGTCTTTGAGGCAAGAGCATTTGCAATTCCTGGCTCTTACAGTAACATTAGCCACTTGAGTGTTTGGGACCTTGATTTGAAATTGAAGGCTACATCAAACGGCATGCAAATATGGGAACGGTAAGATGCCCCAAAGCCATTTTTTTGATAGCTTTAGGGATGCCTGGGGTACCTCCCCCCCCCCCCCCCCCACACACACACACAAGGTTTTGAATACCTGAAAAGTAGTGGTGGGAAACCCACAGAACTGGGAGCTCAGAAGAAAGTCTGAGCCAGTGTCTACAGCAGGAGGCTGGGTGGCTGTAGGACTTCCTCCTAGCGCCATCCCTGAGCCATTTCTGGGAGCAAAAGTAGAATAAATAGTCTGTGCTTCTTCAGAATGGCTGAAGAAAGGAAAAGGGGGAAGGGGGAGCGGGGTGAAGGCCGGTGTAAAAACAGCCGGAAGGCAGATAGAAGTGATGTCAGATTACTTACCGTGAAGGGAAAATGAAAGGCTTAAATCCTCACTCGGGGAGAGGGCTGGTGATGGGGAAGGAAGGGGATGTACACGGGAAACTCCATTAGGTCTGGGGGCTGGTGTCCAGCGCCCCAGCCTGGCGCTCTAAGTGTCTTACTGATGTGTTGTGCCTGATGGGGTTTGGAATAGCATTTTGAGGCGTTGGTCCAATGAGTAGAGGCATTTCCTAATGTGATGACGAAGACTGGTGATGCAAAGGGTAGGGCTTAATTTAAAACGGAGGCAGAGGGAAAGGCCTGAAGACCTCGGTGACTTTTGCCAATTTTAAAGGCAGGGGCGGTTTTAGATCTAAAAAGAACCCAGGTCCTGCTCCATTACTAATGCCTTTGACTTACCTACTAAGGTCATTTAAAAACTAAGAAAAACCCACTAAAGGCATACTTCTTGCAGAGAGTCTTAGCCAGGCCCTCCACATTGTTTATTTCTACCTGGCAGCTTTCACACTTTCACCTGAAACGTGCTGTTTAATTACCTCTGTTTCAAAATGAATCAGCAAGAGAGAGGAGGCCTGGGTTGACTTTAATGGAATTGGCAGGGTCAGGGAGTACATTAGATGAACTGAGAATCTGTAAAACCTAGGTGGGGGGTAACACTCTCCATCCTGTGTCTGTGTGCCTCGTTTTCCATTCCTTAGAAAACCTGTGGCCAGTTGTAAGCTGTGAAGGCGCTCTGTGACCTCTGCATTAGTTGGAGCAATATTTCAGCATTATAAGGCATAATTTTATCCCTAAGGCAATAAACAAGTTTCTGCCCCAACCATATCCTTTACCAAATTTTCTTTCCTTTTTCTCAGTGTCTGCTCATTCATTGCTTGCCTTCTTTAGAGCCTTCTTAGTGATTTAGTTGCTCTCCCATCCCCCAATCCTAGTTTCCCTGCAGATTAAGTAATTGCAACAGATTGTAAAGGTTGGGGGGGAGAAGGGGAGGAGTTGTTCATACCTTATGGACCCTAAATGTCATGGGCAATAGTCCCATGTTCTGTAATATCTGTAGATCAATAATGATATGGACCCAGGAAGATTCTAATACAGTCATTTGTATTTCTCACTTTACCGTTGTTTCACAATCTCTTCTCTTTGGTGTAAAGGAGAGTTTCTTCTTTTCACTGTAATTTTTCTCTTAAACACTGGTTTTGCTTTAACATCTTGGGGGAGAGGGGGCAAAGTCCTCATCCTTTTTTTATGGTTGGCTCCTCCTCATCTGGAAGCAGAGCTAATAAAATCCCTGAGGGGCCCCTTGAATGCTATCTTTCTTATTGCCCAGGAGTCTACACTGCCTGGAGGTCACCATGGGGTCAGATTCAGCCCAATGTTCATCAGGCATTTCAGGGGCAGGAAAAACTCAAAGGGCTCAGCATTATTCTGAAACAAGAGGCCTTTCTTGTTGGCATTGACTTGTGAGCTTCTGCAAGGGTCCTCTAGCCATAGGAGTCAATGACTTTTTGACAGTGTTGACACTGACTTCATAACATCCTGAATAAGGGTGACTTGAATCCATTTCTAGTTATAATCTGCTGGATCTTCACGAGAGCAGCAAGCTTTGGTCAACAATTCAGGGGCTGACCTCTGCCTGCCCTGCTCCAGGAAAGCTTCCTTACCAGAGAGGAGGAGAGATTGGGGGTGAGGGATCACAGAGGAGACTGAGAGGGCTGGGTGTTGGGCAAGAGGTGTTTTGCATGTGTGAGAACTTTAAGATGCTGGAAAACAGGAAATTCATGAATGTGTTCCCCTTGTGTCTTTACTTGGAACAATAGCTGTTTAAGATCCTGTGAGGTGATTATAGGAGAGAGTAAAATGTCCTCTACCTATGGTCATTCGGTGCATTTTTATTTATCTATGACCACAAATGGCTTATGTCAAGTCTGATCACTTAAACCAAAACAAACTAGTCATTAGCATTAACAAAGGTAATTCAAAAGCAAAATTTGAGAAGCATGAATTGGCTATTCTTTTTTTCTTTTCTTTTCTTAGCTATTAGCTGCTCCTATCAAAGACTCGAAGGATTTTTTTTTTTTTTCTAATGGGGGGTTAAGGAAGGGCTTTAATATCAGCCAAATCGAAAGTACTTAGAAAATTAAGTGGTTGGCTTTCAGTCTTCCTCCAAGATCAAGAAGCTGACTGGACACACTGCCAGCAGCATTAGATTAAATTTTCCCAAACCTTGTCAAGGAAGGCTCTTAAATCTCCTTCCTCAACTCTATGGGTTTTCAGTTGGCAGTTAATTCTGTTTAACTTGGTAAAACCTGTGAGACCAGTTTCACAATCACATCTCTTGGTCCTTAGAGTAATTCAGACTTTGGGAAGCATTATCAGAGTACGACTCAAATTTACTCATCTTTGCAGAATACCTGTCCACCCGATCTGCTTGTCGAATAGGCAGCTCTCTCTTTAAGTAGCAAAATAAAGAGTTATCTTGAAGAGTTTGTTCTTCTAAGTCAAGAAAGAGATTTTCAAGGTTTTCACAGATGTAGCTGAATAGCAAGATCTCAACAGAAAAGCTCCTATGATATTGCTGCATGAAATATGAATTTAATGTTGAAATGGAAACCGTTGTTGTTCTGATGTTTTTGGATTTATTTTGTAAGCATTCTTATATTGTTCTCAGTTATCTTGTAAATCACAATGAGCTAAACATTCTTTAAATTCCTAAAGGGAAAAAAGAAAAAAAGAGTTCTTTCCTGGCAATCATGGAAACCACTAGGAATGAAAAAAAAATTATTTTCTAACGCAAAGAATACTTTGTTCGAAGCAATTAACTTACAGTTTTGCCTTTTAAATATTAAACAATGAACAGGTAAAATTCTTCCATAACAATTTATTTTGAAACCTTAGTTGCCCTGGAAATTGTATTTACCTAACTCTCTCCTCATCACATCATTCAAAGCCTCTTTCATAAGATTATTCCACACCTGAATATAGGCTACAGAGGCAACTCCCAGCTTTCACCATTTACTTGTTGAGTAGCTACTGAAACCACACATCTTCACTGATATTCTAATTAAGTTAGATTATATGGGAGAAAATTGCTCTCTAGATAGATTATCTCGTATGACTATCTCTAAGTGGCCATCTCACAGATGTACTTACTCTTTTTAGTCAAGTTATACAGAATCAGAGTCGGAAGGGCCTGTGAGATCGCCTAGTATCCCCACTCCCCGTTATACTTCTTCACCCTCCTCTGTTTCTATAGAATCACACTTCATTGCAGTGAGGTGTTCAATGTCTGTCTTGGCCATAGATGATAAGCACCAGAAGGGCAGCATTAAGACCTGTCAGAGTCCTGCACATAGTAGGTGTTCTAGGAATATTTGATGAACACCTTGCCTCTTCTCTTTCTCTTTTTTTTATAAATATAGAATTTGAAGAATTGATTTAAGAGGCTCTTTGGCTGTGTCACAAATTGCCCTCAAACTTAGAAATTTAAATGACTATCTTGTTTGCTCCTGATTTTGCAATTTGGGCAGAGTTCAAGGGGAAAGACCTATGAACTGCAACTGGAAGATCCCTTCCAAACTGGCTCAATCACATGGCTGGCAAACCAGTGCTGGCTGTAGACCGAGATCACCTCAGTGCTCTTGGAAGTGGGCCTGCCCGTGTGGCTGCCTGGATTTCTTCTCCCTGTGGCAGCTGGGTTCCAAGAAGCAGGAGGTAGAAGCTGAAGGTGCTTTTAAAATGTAGGGCTGAAACGCGCACCAGGTCACTTCTCCGTGCTCTACTGGTCAGAAGTGCTTAGCCCAGAGTCAAAGGGCGAATAAATAGATCTCACCTGTCCAAAGGGGGATGTGATAAAGAATTTGCAACCATTTTTAATCCACTCCAGAGGCCACAAACTGACAGTATCGTGTCTAAAACACTGTTCTTGTAAGTCCTGATGTTTGGCGTAAT